TATTAATATCTCCCATGACTGCTATCCTGCCCTATCTATTTTTGTATTGAATACTAAACTCTATCAGATAGTGAACAAAGGGAAGTTTAACTCATTGGAAAAGTCAGATGCTGTGTGTACAAGATGGCAACACAGAAATTTGAAACACGAAGGTAAAAAAGTCATTTCAATGGTTACTTTTCTCTGTGTTGTCAGCTAAAGAAAATTCACAAGGAATCAATTAATAACAGATATTATGAAGACTATGAGATTATAATGTGGCATTCAATACTTTTTGCCAAAGAAAAAAGAGAATTTGATCTTTCGATTTGGAGAATACATTTAGCTTTACTCATTTCTATCATATATTCAAATTTAATTCTAATTAATTTAGGTATATGAATCCATTAAAATATAAAATGGTATTTAACTTTTAAAACATAAAGACCATTTTGCTTGCTTCAAAAGCTTATAAACTTCTAAATATTTCACTTTTTTGAGGCAGATGTTTCTTTGACTATCTCAGTGACTGACCTGGTATTCTAAGATAACAAAAAAGTACACTTAGGACATACAATCATGAGATGTGACTAGCAAGTAATGTGATTGATTTGTCAACAAGCATACTAAGAACTAAACATCCAAACAAGCGTTACATTTCTAAGCAGCCACTATGGGAGATCAGACACATTTCAGTGGTGCTGCCACTGAACAACACATTTCAAACTTCTCCTTTAGAATGTTCTCAGAAGTAATTTATGAACCATACAAAGCTCAGGCTCATTGCTTTATGAACTGCACCTCATATAGCAGCGATCTGAAGCAAAGCAGAATTGAAATATGTAATTTTCTCTTCTCTTTTATTTACAAAAAGAAACAAATGTTAAATTATTAAGCCCCCAAATAAACTGCTTTTATAAGCCTATTATTTAAATCTAGAAAGACAATTGTAAAAAATAATAATAAAAATTATGATCCTTCTTTTCCCCTTAGAATTTGAATAGGGACATAATATGGACCTGTAATCAGTGCCTCACTCATGAACCTCAACCTTGATGGTCCTGTCTGTTCTCCCAGTGACCACCTTGGCAAATTCCGGTATTTTATTTCTCCTCATTCTTCTCAACCTCTCTTTATCATCTGACATTCTTGATCATCCTTGTTTCGCCCCAACATGCTGTGAACAGCGTTCTTAAAGGAAATTCCATACCACTCTGTGTTCTTAGCCTTTCTCTGACTTACTGTGCTGTGTCCTCTTCCCCGGTTCATGTAAGTGTTGCTCTACATACAGAGTTACAAACATACTTAAATATTTATTACTAAATAAATAGTTAAGCCCTCGGTTCTCTGCTCTGTTTTTCTGTGCTGTTTCCCTTGTTAAACAAAATGTTCCATGTTTAACTGTCACCGCTTCTCAAATATCAAGTCCCACTACTCAAGTTCGCTCCATCCATATCACTTTCTAGTTATGCAACCTTGATCAGGTTACTTAACCTGAGTCTCAGTTTCCTCATGTGTAAAATGAGGATGAAACTCTTGTCTACCTCACAGAATTATGACCAGACACGGAACACTTAAGACGTTTCTGATACATTTCAAGTGTTCATTATTTCAACTGTTATTGTTTTTTCCCCCAATACTTCATGACATCCTTACTTGGATGTCACACAATCAATTCAGCATATTTTTAAAAAATACGAACATCGTCTAGAACTTGCACCAAAATAAAATGTCATTCTTTCACTTAAATTATGCAAGTACTAGAATTGAATTCTTATTTAATTATTTTTCTCCTACCTTTAGTAGTGAAGGGTAGACAGCAGTAGTTTTCTTAAGTTAATAGAGAGGCTTGATATAGATGTAAAAGCTCTGTGTTGTCTTGGGGTATGCTGTCAAAATGCTGTGACCTCCAATTGACAGGAAAGTTAATCAAAACTGTGTCAACATACTGTGTACCCCTAAACTTTCTTATCCTACACTTCCCCAAACTTGCTTTTCTTTGGTTATTACCGTGATCACACGTGGGAACACCATTCTTTCAGGCACTGGGTTTGAAATCTGGTCCTTTGACCCTGTCTGTCCCATCCCTTCTTCACAGGCACCACACTACTGATGCTCACTCTTCCATCCCTCTACGATCGCCCTTGTCCAAACCCTTGGCATCTCATTCGTAGACCACTACGCTATACTTCTAACTCGCCCACCTGCCCTTATCCTCACATTCTACCAATTCATTCCACACACACTCATCATGTTAATTTTCCAAAACCAGTTTCATACTGTCTGAATAAAGTTTTATCATGCACATCATTTTGTACACCTAATACAATTTATTATACAATGTAAACACTCAAATTTGTAGAATAAATCTCATCTCCTTACACAGAAACCCCCACTGATTGCATGACGGTAGTATTGCCCTAAGAGTCCCATACTGCATCTTAACTATAGTTCTGTGAATGTCAAATAAGGGCAAAGGATAGGAAACGAACATATACAAATACCATATGTATGACGCCTTGGCTTAGTATATTTTCATTTTGGTCTCACACAATAACCTGTGATAAAGGTACTAACTCCATTTCAGTAGCAAAGAAGCTCAGAGACATCAAGATTACTGTTCAGCCGAAGGATCCACACTTAGATATGAAGTCACTGTCCTGGCCTCAAAATGTATGCCAATTTTAATCCACTCCTACCTTCTTTTAAGCAGTGTTTTAAAGATGAGAGTTCCTTGGATACATTAGTTTCCTATTGCTTCTGTAACAAAGGGCCACAAATTGAGAGGTTTAGAACAATGCAAATTTGTTATCTTAGAGTCCAGGAGGTCAGAAACCCCAAATCAGTTTTCCTGGACTAAAATCAAAGTGTTGGCAGAGCTGGTTGCTTCTGGGGGCTCTGAGAGGAAAATCTGTTTCACTGCCTTTTTCAGCTTCTAGAGGCTACCTGTATTCCTTGGCTTTTACCCCCTCCTCACGTCACACCAATCTCTTGCTTCTGTCCTCACATATTTTATGACTGGTTTGAACCCTCCTGCCCCTCTCTTGTAAGGACTCTTGTAATCACCCTAGGCCCGTCTGGCTAATCTAGAATCATCGACCTCCTTTTGCCATGTAGGGTCACATACTCACAGGTTCCAGGCATTAGGACATGGACCTCTTTAGGGGCCATCATTCAGCCTATTACACTAGGCATGAGCTCTGATGACGGAGCCTGAATCCCCAGAAACCAAGAGCTGGTGATAATTAGATGTCCTAGCAATACCTATAGACATGGCAATCTTTTGTCAAGAGGTTTTGAAACATAATCAAGAATCATTTACCTAAGAAGACAGTTTATTTACTCACCTGCTCATTTATTCTGAACTTTCAGGTTGGTAAATAAAATTCAATTTTGTTCTTCCTGAACAATTAAAAGAAGCTTGAGAGGAACGGGAAGGACACATTAAATAACAATTGTACGTGTGGAAGGACTTATGAGAAAGAGTATACTTGCAACTGCATTGAACTCCAAAAGTTTAAATGTAAAATCAGTCTACTCCTGACTCATATTTCTTACAGACTTAGCATGTTTTATACCATGAGGGTCTTTAAATTTGGACAGTTTATTTTTCAAAATGTACTGTGTTCAAGCATATAAAGTAACTACTTCCTTATTCCCCATCAGCACAACAACAATTCTAAATGTGTTTAATGATTCTGTTTTTGCATATCATAAGAACATTACTTAATGGTGCTTGAATTAACCAAATAAATGGAACTAACTGATGGCATCCCTTCTTAATGATACTTTTTAGGCCATCTCTTCTGCTTCGATCAGTCTCATTAGCCCGGGGCCACTTGCCTAGGACATGCCCTCTGGCATTTCTATAGATCAACGAAATGGGGATGTTTCCATGCTAACTCAGGGACAAGCAGCTTTTCTGTGGTCTTCTGACTCTTTTTTTTTTTTTTTAAGAATTTTTGATGTGGACCTTTTATTTTTTTAAAGTCTTTATTGAATTTGTTACAATATTGCTTCTGTTTTATGTTTCGGTTTTTTGGCCGTGAGGCGTGTGGGATCTTAGCTCCCGGATCAGGGATCAAACCCGCACCCCCTACACTGGAAAGTGAAGTCCTAACCACTGGACCACCAGGGAAGTCCCTGACTCCTTTATTTCTTCTACCCTGAAAATCGTCAGTCTTTCAGGAGTGTTTAATTTACATTAAGGGTCATAAATATACATTGGTAGAATTTTGCTACCGAAGAACTCTGTCATATTGACATAAAAGCTTGATGAAACATGTACAAAATTTTACTACAAATAAAAATACCAATATAAGTCCTTTATCTTAATAAATATATTTAAGTATTATTAACTCAAACATCAACACTGTATAAAGAAATATTGGCACAAAATGCATGGTTAAAATAAATTGAGAAATGCATGTTATTAAACTATAATAATCCACAATTTTTTAAAAAGTGTGATGTCTTGTGTTAGAGTATTTTAGCCCATGAATAAAGCTGTTAAAATCCTTAAACGTATATACTTAAAATAAGGGTACTAAAAAAGAAATTCTTCCCCAGACTTTCTGAAAATCAAAGAACAAAGGAAAATGACCTTTTAGACAGATTAAAGATCTAAAGGTGAATATTGAATTATATCTATATGTTTTTTCCCGAGTTGATTTAACCTCATGTGAACAGTAGTTGTCTTGTAAACGGATGTATACGAACTTTAGAAACCAAACTTTCAAATGGAATTTATTTCAGTTATGCCACAGACTTGAGGAAATGTCACACTCATTCCAAGAGTTATTTGTTACTTAGAAGTTTAAGTGTTCTGACCAGTGAAAAGTTAACAGCAAAATGAAAAAAGCTGAGAATAGCATGATTTAAAGAATGCCAATTTGTAACCCAGGGGATAGGTATTTGCATACTAATTGTAATGTTCCTGCTGTCACATTCCCTTCAGCTTGAAGATCAGTCAGAAAGAGAAATTCAGCATCATCTGTGACAGCCAGACAGTGGAACAAAAAATGCCAGTGAAGTGAGTTGCTGTTTAAAGCTATTTTTGTCTCAGAAGATGTACAAATGAAAACACTTGAGTCTTCATTAGTCTCGATGTTTTGTTTCCTTCATTTATGATAAATATGCTAATTGTTGTCTTTCCTCCGGATTTATTTTTTTCTCCTCTCTCCACTGATTTCTTCTTTTCTAAAATCTGTCCACAATGCATGTCTTGCCTGAACAGTTAATTCTTTATACTTGCTAAGATAAAGAAAGGCTACAAAGTGGAGAAAACCCACTGAGCTCCCTTTATGTGAAGCTTTCCCAAATTATTAAATGTTCAGGTTAAAGACATAAGATATATATGATCCTTGCAAAAACCATTCGTTGTTGCAACATGGATTGAGAAATTTGAACATAGATATTAACTGCGGGGTAAGGCAGCAGCTGTCACTTCCTGGAGCACACGGGCTCCTTGCGTGAATCTCTCGCTCTCCAGCAAACCGCTAATTGAGTGTGGAGAGCTCAGTTGTCAGAGCCCACATTTTTAAATGCAATACAACTGGTTCTAGCGGGCACAGTTAGCAAGATAACTGGTAGCTTTCACGCAGTTCCCATCTGGCCTGGCTCTTCTCCGGACACATAATATGGGGACTGCTGGCCTTGACGGCACTCGTTTAATGAAGGAAATCAGCCAAAGCCCCGTGAAACACTAAGTGTGATTTTGGCTCCAGATACACAAGTGAATTTCAAGGCAAGGCAAGTCATACACACACACACAAAAATTACCCCGACTATGCACCACAATTTTACAGGAAATATATGCGAACACACAATGGAGAAGAGCCAGACAAAATCTTTGTAAAGTTCCAACTAAAATCCAAATAAAAGGGGAGAAAAAAGAAAAGTGAGAGAGAGAGAGAGAGAGAGAGAGAGAGGGGAGGGAGAAGTACACTGTCCATTTATTTAAGGTAGCACTTGTCAAGTAAATTCAACCCAGTCAGTCCATTTTTAAATCAGCCACCCCCTCTATCCCCCAATTTTAATTCAATAGATTTTTCTTAACATTTATATAGTTGTGTTTCTAAAAATTTTAAACCTATTTGTCAGTCACATCTAACATAAGAAATGTCCTATTTTTGTTTGATAATGTACAAAATTGAAGAATCACTGTCTTCTGATAACTTTCTATTGAGTAGAAATTACTACAGTTTAACTGTTATTTAGAGGAAATACTTGTGTGACGTGTAATAAACTCTATTACAGGAAAAACACCCTAAAATTTATTTGAAACATTTATTACAGATGTTCCAAAACATGAACAAAGTATAAGCATATGTATATTGACTCATCCATTCCAGGAAGAATTGTAAAATGAGTTTGGGTTACAAGCAGATGCACCTGTGTTTGAACTCTAACTGCCTATTAATATATGTGTGATATTACACCAGTTATTAACGTCTATGTCTTCTTACTCATTGGTGACATGGGATTAAAACAGACTGTCATTTTGAAGATTAAATGAGGTAAAGTATGTGACATGATTAGCACAATGTGGTATAGATTGTAAACATTCAGTACATTGCTTTTCATTTTAGTGCTATTATAAAAATTGTCTTTCAGTTTATTCACATATAGAAATTACTCTTCCAAAGAATTACAATCAACCTCAAATTTAAAAATTTGAACAGCAAATTAATACTGTTTCTTAAAATAGTTGCACTTCACCTAACTTCTGAAAAATAAATACTGCCTTACAACCAACCCTTCCATCATATCAGGTAGTCAAAATTGAACCTCTCAAGTCAAATTTGAAATCTATTAGAAAACAGTGAGCTGAGGGCATTCCAGGCATTATCACACACCAGCAGGGGTATTTCTTCAGAGGGTTGAAGGACAACTTTTTCCTTTACAACAATGTCAGTATTTGGTGGACCTTAAATATTACTAGAATATCCTAGTATCTCCACTGATATTCTATATCTATAGAATATCTATAATATTTTTAGTATATCTCCCTAATTCAAAACATTAGGAATTTTCTTTTGTCCTTGGTTCTACACCATCTCCCAGACTTTGCTCTCTTTTTTCTGTTTTTACTGCTTCCCTACATTCATGATGACACTAAGAATAGCTACCACTCATTTGAACACTTCCATTTCAAAAAGACTCCTTTACATCCAACAAGTCCTTCCCTGAATATTCCTTTTGCTTTGGACTTAAGCAAACTCTGGCTCTCCCTGAAGGACATGGCTTGCTTTGGTGCCTTCAGAATGGATGTTGTCCATTTCCTCCAATTTCACACGCTCAGGGTTGAGAGTGAGGTCCCTGGTCTGTCACTGCCTAGTGATTCTTTTGCGTCATTTCTCCTCTTTCCTCACCCAAAACACACTTTGAAGTCAACACAATTCAACTACACCCTTAGTAACCTTCTTATCACGGTCATCTACCAGCACCTTGAAAGCCACTGCACTGCTTCCACTGATGGCTTTAATGCCTGCCACTATTTGGGGTTTGGCCATTCAGTCATTATTTATTTACATGTCCAACAAATATTTCTTGAACCAGACACACTGTTCTTGGTGCTGGACAATAACATATTTTCCTGTCAACAGACAACTTACATACAAATGGGGGAGTACATGTTCATTCTTGAACGATTCTGCCTAGATTCTATTTCTCAGGGTTTTTCTTTGACGGCTGTTCCTTGTTCAGAATGTGTGTACTGTGTGGCCAGACTAGGGATCAAAACTCTCTGCCCTCTTCATGAACATACATTCCACAGGTACTATGTAGAAATTTGAGTACCGTGCTAACCACCAAATTTCAATCCACAAATACACACATTTTAAACACGTGCGTTTTAAGCAATCATATAATTTTAGCACTATTTGATAGAATTCCTAGTATTTGACAGAAGACCTAATATTTGACTCAAATGAAATATAATGTAAGCATTTCACAGTAACAGTTTTCATAGTACACACAAGCTCTTCTACAGAAAATTAGATTTTATGTCGGGCCCCATTCTGCATTTATGAAAGATGGAAATGCAACCTAAATCTTTTAAAATGTCCATTTGAATGAAAAAAAACATTTCAAAATGGCTTCACAGGAAACCTTGTGTCCCCAGGATTTAGTAGATCAAGGGAGACAGGAAAATCAGCTGCCTGCCACTGGGGAAGAAAGTAAAAGAAATGGGAGATAGGAAATAAAAGTAATGGGAGGTAGCAAGATGAGTTCCCTGTCAACATAGCCTCCCCATGTAGCCTCTACAAGGACAGACATTACTATCTGAAAATATAACTACAACTGCAACAGCAGAAGGGAGCAGAGTCACTCCTGACACAAATGATGAAAACTGCAGCAAATCACACAAAGTAATAGAATAAAAAAGCTTAGAGATCAAGTCACACTAGCATATATGCTAGTAGCATCTATGTATGTAGCATAGATGCTACATACATCTAGTCACCTTGATATGCACATGTAAAAGTTTATAAGAATGACTGGATGGGAGACTCTATTTTATTACCAATCATTTTAATAGAAACCTTCAATTAGACCATTCCTTTCCATAATGAAGTCATCTGCACATCACAGCTACATTATCCAAAATTTTTCTTCTGGGTAGCCGATGCTTTCTATGGATGGGGGCTTATTTCATCAGGATCTTTGTTTATTAAGGGGAATAATGCATGATATATTTACATCTCAGAAAGTTTATATCTCAAATCTGATTTATTATTTCTACATCACATCCCTAAAAGTATACCTTCTTTAGAAGACTTAAGCCAATAAATTTTTTGACTGCTTTGGAAAAGATATTACTCTCTCCTGACTGATTCCTAGATTTAAATAAATCAACCCAGAACTGGAAGCATACCAGTCTAAAGAGAAATAAAGGCTGTCTCAGACTAGGGTAAAGACTTCTCAAAATACTATAAATAAACATTTTTAAAATCATCACATGTTAGAAATCCTTAATCAAAACTTTAAAAAAACTTTTTTAAGATGCATAATTATGAAATGGACAATTCTGTATACTGTGAAAACTTAGAAAACAGTTCATTCGTCATTATTGCTATCATGATAACTCTTCAGGAATAGACTAGTGTAATGCCATATAAATTAACAATTAATATAGCTGAGAAGAAATTCACGAGGCTATTTAGAACAATGAGCAATCTCTCTCGTGCCTTTATTAGAATTCAAGAATTTGTAAGTATTATTAACACTGTTGGCCAGATTAATAATTTGCTGATGTCAAATTACATCCCACTTTGATTTGCTATTGCTCTCTACTGTGGAAAACATTATATAATTCTTGTTGACCTTTTGCAGTTTAATTCATGAAGCAAAGCTAATTTAAATGATATAATTCAATAAATACACATAACTCAAATATTACTATAGGTTACAGAAGAAAAAGATCACAATGCTGTTGTCAAGGGTAGATGTTGTTTCCACAGGTCACCAACTACAGAAACAACAGTGTGTTCTGAAAATATGGATACACTTTTAACCAACCAAGGTAAGATCCAACTAATAATAGGTTTAAAAATACCATGATTAAAATAAAATCATTAAATTCTGAAAGTTGTAGTCATGTTATACAGTATGAGTTTAATCAATATTTGAAGAATGAGATTCCCAAAAGTCACACAAATTTATACAGGCCCAAACTTTAAATGGAATTAGGTTGGGTCCAAAATAAGACAAGATGATAGAAATTCCAAACGTTAAAACAAAAAGAAAATCCCAAATAGGAAGTGATAAAGTTGTCATTTTCTTAGACTCATTATCATCTGATGTATATCATGACTACCTTTGTTACAAATTGAAAGACACATACAAACTATTGAAAAGTTGAAAATTTAAATAAATCACTTGTTTTTCATGTCCTGCAGGCTAACATAAAGTTTTTTAAGTATCAATATTTATTTCAATTGAGTTCTTACTTTAGTGAATACAAAAACATATTTAAATGTGTGTGTATATATTAATATGTACATTGTGGATATATATTTTCAATTAATATGATGGCTTAATAAGGTAATTTTGGTCAATTATAAATAAAACATCCAAGAATTTAATACAAAATAGTCATTTACAAAGATACGTAGAATTCTGCTTTTGTTATACATAATCCTGCTTTGCAGTATTTCTGTTTCATATGGGATAGAAATGACATTATAGAGACATACATAGAAAATGTTTGAAATGCAGTATTGTTTGTTCTAATCAAATGGCATTTCCACTTTAAATTTATGAAGGAAATATCAGAATATTAGAAAAGTTTAAAACATGGTAAAGCTGAATAAATTCTTCATGGCTGTTTATTTATATACACAATTAGACTGAAATAGATGAAATTACACTTTCATTTTATGATTCTCAAATAACTAATTCCCAAAGCACAGACATAAAATAATCCACAATACACCTAGAATCCAACTAAGGACATATATTAAAGATGTCAGAGATATGGAATTGCATTTTTGTAAGCTTCGAATGGCGTGTCTCTTTTTTCCTTAAATACATAACCAGCGGGACAGATCAGGTTTGCTAAGAGCCTCAGGAAGGTATCTGCAGGGGGAGAGTTGGCTGGGACAGCACCGCAGAACAGGGACATGGAAGGTGTTAGATGAAGGCAAATGCTTCCACCTGCAAACCTCCTGAGATTTTTGTACCTCATGCCCGCATAAAGCAGAAAAGTCATAGATTCATCTGCAAAGCTGTTTGGTTTTTGCTTTTTATGAAACCAGAGAAATAGCTCTCATGCTTTTTAATGCTTTAAATGGTTAAACGACTTACCATATGACCTCCTTGTCTTGTGACCTGAGGATATGTCTCGCATGTATTAAGGGTGGCTTCCACCACCTATTGCTGACCTATTCTACCCATCAGCCCCTGTTGTGCCTTAAGCAGTAGCCATTCCCTCCTGTAGAGAGCCCTCAGATGACATGACAGTGATTGTATGTACCATTTTATTCCAAAGTCACTCGACATCCTATGAACATTCAAATTGTATGTATAGAGTAGACGAGTAGTTCAACAATAGTGTGTCCAAGATAGAGATAACTAGCCCCAGTTTTAGTTGTTTATTCTGTTCCCTTGTGTCCGAACAGAGCAATAGGAGGAGAAAAGAAGGAAATGGTTGTTAGTTTGATGTAGCCCTGCATTAAAATAGCAGGTGGGAAGAAAATAACAATAGTCTCTTGATCTCTAACTTCCTGTCTCTGGGATGCACTTAGATAACCCTCACTGGGAAAAAGCTTCATATGCCTTTAATGACACACAAATAAAATAGTGCCAGACATGAATGTACACTATTCTTTCAGTATTATTGCTTAATCTACTACATAAAATAGATTTTAGTCTAAACTCTGTTTAGACCTGTCAAATTCACCATTGTTTGGACCTCATGGAAAATTTTAACTCTGTTACTAAGAGGATTTTTATAACCCAAATATGTGTCACAGAATCTCAGAAGCTTCTCAGATGTATTTTTAAATGCAAGAAATGTGCAGTTAATTGAATTTTTTATTGTGCTCACATATTAACAACATCCACACGCTCCAATATTTCTACTGAGAATTTTCATTGGTACCTGAAAACCCTTTGCAGTGACCTGTTATTTCAAATAATTAAAAGCTTGTTAAATCTATTTTTAATAGTGTTTTTAGACACTTTAATCTTGCTCCATGAAGCCCTTTTCTATTTTCTCTCACTAACCTTCACTTTCCTTCCAACCTGCAGCAACCTACGAACAGCTAACTTAGGCCCCTTTTCCATACACTTTTTTCCGAGATTTTCTTTTTTGCTGGCCAATTTTTCCTTTCCCCCCGATTCTCCATAAATTTATTTCTCTCTACTTTGCGACCTGAAGGGTCAGCCCTTCAGCACACAGTCAGGGAGGAGCTGCTTTGAGCGCAGGCATGGGGGCCCCCATGGCAGGTGGAAGAGAAACCCACCAACGTGTAGGAAGGCAAATCCCTCTGAGCAACAAATGCGCCAAAGGGTGTTTCCTCCTCGGAGAAACACAGTCTCACTTATGATCAGACACTGCCATTAGAAGGCGCCAACTGAAACTGAGTAACACGAACTGAAAGGACTGGCTTAGTTCAGGCAACTCTGGGAATTTGACAGTAATCTTTTTAACCCGCTACCTCTGTAGAGGCCCACTCTTAACCGTCCTCGGCCTTAAAAGATTTATTAGAAGTATTACCTTCCCAAAGAAACTCTAGGTGTGCCGAACAAGATTTTGGGGCACATTTTCGGGGCCCATTTTAATGTGGAAACTAGAGAAAGGAAGAGTCTAAACAGGTGGTCACAAACTTTATTTATGAATGCAACGAATAATAAATGTGTAAATTTGACTAAAAATAAGATAATGGGAAGAGGTGGGACCTATGAGAATCCCAGACTTCAAGCACTACCTGTTATTATTCAATTTAAAAAATGCTAATTGTAGAAATACAGATATAAATGTTTTATGTTTATGACTACTGATCCAAAATAAAGTTTTCTAAAGTTAAAAACTAAAATATATAAATGTTATATTTAGAGGGATGATAAATATTTGCCACTGAATCCTCAAATGCTCACCCTATACAACGTACTTGTTTTGGTCGTATGACTGCACTGTGTGAAAAACAAATTTTTTCTCATATATCTTATAGCTGGTCTAGATGCTTTTCGAACATTCCTAAAATCAGAGCTCAGTGAAGAAAACGTTGAGCTCTGGCTTGCCTGTGAAGACTTTAAGAAAACAGAAAGTGCAGAAAAAATTGCTTCCAAAGCCAAGATGATTTATTCTGAATTCACTGAAGCTGATGCCCCTAAACAGGTGGGTGAAATATTCCACAATAGTGAATATTTATCTGCTAACAAATCTGCTCCCAACTGAAAGGCGCGAAGTCCATCTTGAGGGAAATTAAATTGTCACTATGTATTCAAACAGAAAATGTTGGTAAATTCGAAAAGAAGTTCCTTACCGTGATCCTCTGGCACTGATTCAGCAAATATTTTTAAGCACCTCCTATGTGCTTAAAGGTTTCTGTTTTCTGAGCACAACACGCAGGCTCTTAAAAATAGTCTAATATGTCAAAAATTAACAGCTCTACAGAAATCCTACTTAAACGTGCTGCTGGATTTCAAATTCATTTTCATTTTCCCTTTTGTAAACCACGGAGGTCAATTTGGAATAAAATTTTTTAAATCAAAAAGGTATGGGGCTTCCCTGGTGGCGCAGTGCTTGAGAGTCCGCCTGCCGATGCAGGAGACGCGGGTTCGTGCCCCGTTTCGGGAGGATCCCACGTGCCGCGGAGCGGCTGGGCCCGTGAGCCATGGCCGCTGAGCCTGCGCGTCCGGAGCCTGTGCTCCGCAAATGGGAGAGGCCACAACAGTGAGAGGCCCTCTTAACGCAAGAAAAAAAAAAAAAAAGGTATGTATGTGAGGGAAAAAACAACTACTAACCAACAGTGTAAATTCTTTACATTTAATACTTTGGAGACCCACAAACAGCATATAATAATGTCTTCCCTTCCAAAAGAGGGCTTTGCTTACCTTTATTTCGTTGATGGGTGTTGGGCTGCACCCCGCTGGCCTACGAGGCCTGCACTTGCCCAGCTTCAAGACAGAAGAAAGAGCCCAGAGTCAGCGAAAGAGTCATCAATGGTTTAATGGATGGCGGAGCTTAAATGTCTGAAGCAAGGTCCTGGAGCGACACCCCACCATGTGTGGTGGAGGGCGGGCAGGACGTGGTGGCCGACGTCGCAGGGGAGTCGGGGGTAATAGGGAGGTTACCATTTATAGGGGGAATTGCCATCAGCTTGGCTCATCGGTTACCAGGGAAACCAGCAGAGGGGCAGGACCCTCTTAGCCCCTCTGGCTAAGTACCTTCTTGGGGCAGAGGTCTTCCCTTATTAAACTATCAAAGGGGAGCCATTCTGATATAAAGATTAGATCACTAGCTGGGGCTGAGGGGCAAGTATGTAGAAAGGGCCTTAGAGAGAAACCTGCAATGACTCCAAGAATAGACCCCATAAAGAGTTTTATGTGTGTAATATCTCATTTATATTTGACTTCATTTCCAGAGCCAAACCGTGATCATCTCTGCACATCCCCTTAATGTTTAACTATATATATTTTTTAAAACGTCTTTGATTCCTCACTAAATATAACATATGCAGAGAGTTTTAATGCATAAGCAGCAAACAGGAGCCTATATGAAACTACTAGCACCAAACATAAACCACTAGCACAAGTCATCATCTTTCCCT